GGAGGAGCAGGCGGAACGGCGCCGCCTCGGCCTCTGTTATAACTGCAACGAGCCATACTCACGCGGCCACAACAGAGTCTGCCGCCGCATCTTCTACATCGACGGCGTCGAGCTGGCTGAGGACGCAACCGCTGAGGAGGCACCCGTCTACTCCCTCCACGCCGTCGCCGGCATTCCAGTGTGCGGTACTCTCCAACTCGAGGTGCAGGTGGGCGCGGCCACGTTGATCGCCCTCGTTGACACGGGCTCCACCCACTGCTTCATCGGCGAGGTGGCCGCACAGCGGGCCGGCCTGACCGTCGAGCCTCGGCCTCGGCTGACTGCGATCATGGCCAACGGGGAACGGATCGCCTGCCCGGGCGTTCTGCGCCAGGCGCCCATCGTCATCGACAGACGGCCGTTCGCGGTCGACTTGTACATCATGCCCCTGGCCGGCTATGACCTGGTGCTAGGCACTCAATGGCTGGCTACCTTGGGTGATATTGTCTGGAACATGGCTGCCGGGACCATGGAGTTCAGGGTGGCGGACAATGGGTTCATTGGGCGGCGTCACACCGCTAACACCGCCACGCATCCACTGCGCCTCGGTGGCGGAGCCCTCCTCGACGAAGTTGCTTGCCTCCTTTCGCAAGCGTTTTCGGCCGAGCCGAAGGGCCTGCCTCCCGCGCGTGGCCGAGCGCACCGCATTATCCTCAAGCCGGACACCGCGCCAGTGGCAGTGCGGCCCTACAGATATCCGGCCGCCCACAAGACTGAGCTGGAGAAGCAGTGCGAGACCATGATCGAGAATGGCATCGTCGGCGCAGGCGACTCAAGATTCTCCTCGCCGGTCCTTCTCGTCAAGAAACCGGACGGCTCGTGGAGATTCTGCGTCGATCATCGCGCCCTCAACGCGGTGACGGTCAAGGACGCGTTTCCGATCCCCGTCGTCGACGAGCTCTTGGATGAGCTCCATGGCACCAAGTACTTCACCAAGCTCGACTTGTGCTCGGGATACCACCAAGTGCGCATGCGGCCGGAGGATGTTCACAAGACGGCGTTCCGTACACACGACGGCCTCTACGAATTCCTGGTTATGCCATTCGGACTCTGCAGAACGCCCGGCCACATTTCAGCTCATGAAGCGACATCTTGCGCCTGCTTTCTCCGCCGGTTTGTACTTGTTTTCTTTGGCGACATCTTGATCTCTGACAAGTCATGGGCCGACCACTGTGTCACCTCCGCTGCCGTCCTCGGCGCAAGGCTTCGCTTAACACACCCTCTTCGTCAAGCGCCCAAGTGTGCGTTCGGGGTCGCCTCTGTCGCGCCTACCTCGGCCCACACGATCTCGGAGGGGGTGGCCATGGACTCGCCAAGGTGCGAGCCATTCACGATCGGGCCGGTACCTCGTTCGGCTTGAGGCGGTGCGTGGCTTCCTTGGGCTCATGGATACTACCGCAAGTTCATCCACAACCACGGCTCCATCGCCGCGCGCCGCTCACCGCGCTACTCAAGAAGGAGGGCTTCGCGTGATGGGGTCTCGAGGTCGCCTCGGCCTTCCTCGCCCTCAAGGAGGCGGTCACCTCAAGACCGGTGCTCGCTATGCGGGACTTCGACAAGCCCTTTGTCGTCGAGGCGACGCGTCGTCCCACGGGTTTGGTCTTTGTACTCATCCGTGAGGGGCATCCGATCGCCTTTTTCAGCCGCCCGGTGGCGCCTCGACATCAAGCCCTGGCAGCCTACGAGCGTGAGCTTATTGGCTTGGTCTAGGCGGTGCGCCATTGGCGGCCATACCTCTGGGCGCGCCGTTTCACCGTCAAGACGGATCCTCTGACTTGAAGTACTCTTTGGACGGCGGCAGCCACCATTCCGCAAAGACCACTGGGTTGGCAAGTCAGCCTGGCTTCGACTTCTCCGTCGAGTACAAGCCAGGCGCGACGAACGCCGTCGCCGACGCGCTGTCCAAGCGCGACACCGTGGAGGGAGAGCTCCTTGCCTTCTCTGCTCCGCGCTTCGACTTCATCGCCAAGCTCCGGCAGCCCAGCTGGACCACCCGGCCCTTGTTGCTCTCCATGGCGAGATCACGGCGGGCACCGACCAGCTCCTCGGGCGCGGGTGGACGGCATGGTGCAATTTTTCCAAGGCGGTGTACATCCCTACCGACTCCCTCATTGCTACAAGAAATTGTGGGGGCCATACATGAGGACGGACACGACGAGGCGCATAAATGGACGCTCCACCGGCTTCGTCGTGACTTCCATTTTCCTAACATGAAGCAAGTTGTGCGAGAACAGGTGCAAGACGTGAAGTCGCCAGGCTTACAAGTCCGAGCACCAACATCCCACGGGTCTCCTTCTTCCATCGCCGGTTCCACAGGCGTGTGGACTGATGTCGCGCTAGACTTTGTGGGAGGGCGCCACGGTCCGCTTAAGAAGTCGGTGATCCTCACCGTGGTGGATCGGTTAAAGCAAGTACTACCATTTCATCCCATTGGCACACCGTACTCCATTTCTGAATCCGTCGCCGTGCTTTCTTCAACGACATTGTCCGCCTCCACGGTGTTCCACAGTCCATGGTCTCCGACCGGGACACGGTGTTCACGTCGACGTTCTGGCAGGAGTTGATGCGGCTAATGGGGACCAAGCTGCAGATGACCACGGCGTTTCACCCCGGTCCGACGGGCGTCCGAGTCGGCCAACCGCGTCATCCTCATGTACTGCGGTGCTTGGCGGAGAGAGAGCCGCGAAAGTGGCTCCGGTGGCTCCGTGGGCGGAGTTCCTTTTCAACATGGCCTACCAGACGTCCTGCGGGACACCCCTTCCGCGTGGTCTCACGGGCGTGATCCTCCTTCCATCCGGTCCTATGAACCCGGGAAACCGAGGTGCTTGCCGCCGTCGCCAAGAGCATGGAGGAGCGCGGCGGAGTTCTCGGAGGACATCCGCTACCGTCTGGAGCGAGCGCAGGCGTACCAAAAGCGCCACTACGACCGTCGCGGCGCACCGAGACGTCACTTATCGGTCGGTGATTTGGCGCCGCCGCCTACGTTAGCGGCGGCGTCGTCTCTTCTCGGTACGTGGGCGGCAAGCCGAAGCCGGCGCTTCTTGAGCCGTGCTGCGTCGTCGTCGAACTCATCAACGAGGTCGCCGTCCATTGGAGCTTCCTTCGCGCCCGCATCCACAATGTGTTCCATGTGGGGCTGCTCAAGAAGTATCGGGGCCGCCGCCAAGCTCGCGCCTCCACCATTGCCGCTTCGCATCATGGCGCTTATAAGCCCGAGACCCGAAAGGCGCGGATGCGGTACCGCTTGGCTCATGGCGTACATCAGTGCTCATCCAATGGAAGGCACGCGTCGGCGAAGATCGACAGAACTGGGAAAGGCGTCGCGCCGTTCGCACTAAGTTCCCCAATTCCAGCTCGAGGACGCAGTGGCTCTCGACGGGAGGGAGATGTCATGTTCAAACAAGTGTACACCAGCGCCATAGGGCCCGTGACATGCGCCGAGCCCAGAACGCGGCTTGCTGCACGCACGGCAAGCACGAGAGGGCACGGCCTCCAGCAGTGGCTAGGAGGAAAGTAGGGGATCTTTTAGCTATTTTGGTTAGTCCTTAATTAGTGGAGTTTGTTACTCTTTTTGTTGAGCCGGAGGCTATAGATATGCTGTAATCAAACGCTTGGCAATCAAGAAAGATATTACCATCTAATCCTCTCTCCTCTTCTACCTAAGCCGGCGGCAGGGGGAATAACCCACCGACGAAGAACGGCGGCAAGGGGGTATAACCCGGCCGGCCATCACGGACAGCGGCTACGATCTACGTAGCCGAGGTCCTCCTACCCTCGGGCTTACTGCCCTTGACAGGATCTAAGACTTTCTGGACTCTGTATATGATTATACATTAATTGAAGCCCTGACGTAATTTCGAAATCTGCCATTGGGTCAGCCACTACATTGCTCTTTCCTGCCACAAAAAAGTTCCATTTGGACATAGATACACTCCAATGCTATTCTACCATTAATATCTGTGTTATGTAGAAAAAACCTAGTATTCTCAATGTACTTCTAATGACAAATTTACTAACATTATACAAATGCTCAATCTCAATATTAAAAACCAATGGCCAAAATTTAAGTAGTTTGACTGCACAGAACCAAACCATCATTTTTCTTTTTTTTTCCGAAAATGCAGGAGAGCTACGCTTCTTTGTATTATAGAGAGAGAAAAAACGATCCCATATATCAACCCCACTCATACGGGGATCAGGTATGAGGGGGGATTTACATCACACTGGCACTAGTCTAAAGGAAAGGAAAAAACAGCATGACCGGCCAAGACCAAAGCTAACTCAAATTGTGCTGCTAAGACCTAGGTTCTGCAACTTCTTGGCCCCAGCGAAACACCAAAGGCTGTGCTCATCATTCAGCTCACGCAGGATTGAGTTAACTGAAGGAGAGGCACCCTCGTACACACAAGCATTCCTATGCTTTGAAATAACCCAACCATCATTTTTTACAAGAAAGTTTAGGAAGTATGATAAGACAAACTAGTTTGATTGCTCTATGATCAGAAACATTCTGATGTTAAAGCTTTATAACCATCCAGAAGAGCATATGATAATTGTTTTGATCACGTAATTTATTTATTTCTGGTTTGCCATTTCTAATCTGAAGAGGTCAAAATTTTGGAGGACAGGGAATCATGATACGTGATTTTCCAAAAAAAATTTATTCATGTGCAGAAGATTTTTCTTCCTAGTTTTTCGACATGCATGGCCCAGGACTTTTGGATCTTGCAGTTGTATTGTAAATCTATGATAAGAATTTAAAGGTTCCAGAAACAATTAGTAAAGAATGTGAGCTCTTCACATTTCTGAAGCTGAAGTTTTATCTGGTGTTGTTGTTTGGAAAACTGCTACTCACACATAAAACCATGGCTGCAGTTTGCGAGTTAATTTTGGAAACTTTGTACCTTCAATCTTGTATTGCAGAGTTAATGATGGAAATTGTGTACCTTGAACTAGTGCAGGATCTTTTGAAGCTTGAGGCGATCCAAGCTGAGCTTACAGAGTACAATGGTGGCCAGCCAACCTTCTCGCAGTGGGCAACAGCAGCTGGAGTTGATGAGAAAACTTTGCGGAAGTGCCTGAATTATGGTATTTATTGCAAGAACAGAATGGTAACATCTAATGTGAGACTTGTAATCTCTATTGCCAGAGAGTTTGAAGGCCCTGGAATGGACCTTTATGATCTTATTCAGGTAATACAACCTAATACTTTTTTATTGGAAAAATATTTTCTGGTGTGCCGTATTTAGCATCAACATTTTATTTTTAGGTTTTTTATTACAGGAAGGAATGCAGGGCCTTATAAGGGGAGCTGAAAAATTTGATGCATCAAAAGGTTTTAGGTTCTCTACATATTCTCACTGGTGGATCAAGCAAGCAATGCGTAAATCTGTCTCGGAGCAATCCCAAATATTTCGCTTGCCTGTATGCCCACCCCTCAGATCCTGTTCTTTTCCCTATATCAATGTTTTGATGAACTCTTTTGTCTCCAACTGTAGATCGCGGTTGGTCATGCATGAGTGACCCATATGTAGTTTAGAAAAATTCAAAGAATAGATTATTATCACCAGGTGAATCGTAGGGTGATTCGTTTTTTTTTCTTTGGTGCGTGATTACAAGTTTATCCAAAAAAAAGTGAGGTAAGGATTAATATGAAAATCTTTTGATGATGTTGACTTAACAGTTAATAATGTCTTGCTCCCCTCATCTTTTGACAAAACTCTTCCATATTACTGTCATATGAGCCCTTTTGTTTTTTTTTCAAGTTCAAATATTGTTGTGTCCATTATGCATCATGTTATGTTGAACTAGGATTTATGTTCCCAATGGATGAAATATATTTTCTATATATTATATCTATCAAAACCAGTTATCTCATATGCTATATGTTAATCACACTAATTAATTCTGGTAACTAGGCTCACATGGTTGAAGCAAGTTACCGTGTAAAGGAGTGCACAAAACGACTTCGCCGTAAGCTTAGAAGACGACCCACCAATGAAGAAATTGCACTGGACACTGGTATGCCAATTAAACGAGTTGAGGCAGCAGTAAACCTCCCCAAGTATAGTGTATCCCTTGATAGTAAAATTGGTTCCACCGACATGACATATCAGGTATGACCATTCTATGCCTGTATCGCATTCTGTGTTTCTTATGTACCATAGAGCTCAGGTAACACACGCCTTTGGTTTTCAGGAGGTCACAGCTGATCCCAGTGCTGAGACAGCTGAAGAAATGCTCAACAGAATGTCCATGAAGAAGGATGTACACAAGGCACTAGATACTCTGACCACACGCGAGAAGCAAGTTATTGTTCTGAGATTTGGGCTCGAGGATGATCGGATAAGAACCCTGCAGGAGATTGGTAACATCATGGGTGTGAGCAGGGAGAGAATTCGGCAAATTGAATCTGGCGCGTTTCGGAAACTAAGGAGCAAGAAGAGGGTGAAGGCTTTGAAGGATTATCTGGTGCCAGTGGGCAATTGGTGAACCGTTTGTTTGCACAGAATTTGTTTTCCTCTCTGGATTCCTCAGGTTTTTCTTTTTTGAGGATTCTTTACTTGTACCATTTTACGTGGGTCCTCATGTAAAACACACTATCAGAATATTTGCATTACAAGAGGAAAGAATAGTTTAGTTCCGTGGAAATGAAGTAATTCACAATTTCTTAGTTGCTTGTTATCTCAGAATTTAGAAATGAAATATGTTGGTACAAAACTGTGTAATGCCCAAATTTTAGAAGCGCTTCGTCATCTACCCTACGCCTAAAAGAATGTGCGATTCATTTTTTTCTCCTAGATTGCTTCATAAAGAATGTAGAGTGTTCGGTTCACATAGTTACCATGATTTCAAAAACTGTTCTTCACTTTTTCTGAATTGTTCAACTTGGTTTGAAAATTGTTGCCTAGTTTTAGAAAGTATTGAGGCCTTCTAATCCGGCCGAATCTATATTGTTGATTGATGTGGATTGAGTTGGAAAACTAGTTAATTTTTCACACAAATCTACAACAATGGGGCCGTTCGGCTGGTTATAAAAAAACACTGTAGCGGCTGAAAGTTACTGTTTACGGCTGAATTTGTGAGAGAAAAATACTGTTTCAGATGAAAAAAAGAAGCGGATCAAGCCAGGTTTCATATCAGCCGAACAAGGCCAATACTGCCTTGTTTGGCCATACTTGTATCTATCTCAATTGGCGGAAAGTTAACTAATTTTCACCTTATTCCACTTCAACACTTGTAGAATAAGGTGGATATGAGTGCAGCAAACAAGGAACAAGTACGAATTAAGATGAACTAGTGATTAGGTGCACCCTTGCGTGCAGGTTGGTACCTATTGACGCCAAATTTAGATCCGGATCACAAACCAGCAAGGGTTAGCACGTCCTAGGTTGCAATTAACCTATCACATGCAGCAAATAACTCAATGATCAACAAAATCGATCTAGAGATCGATTAGGCTGATCTAGAGCCCATCCTTCGTCGCAGAAGCCTGAGAACACCTCCCAAGAGGACCCGATGGGGAGATGCACGCCTAGGGTTATTCTAGGGTCCATAGGGCCACCTAGAATGCCGATGAATCTCGCGGAGAGATGCAATGAACAACAGAATGGTTGGAAAAGGGCAAAACTTAGTTAGTAGATGTAAAAAAGACGATTGAGTGTTAGATCCTTCAATCGATCGTTATCCTTTGATATATATAGAGGGGGTGGTCTTATCCCAATAGTACACAAGTCCAAATTGTAATCTCCACGTTTGCTATGCCAAAACACGTCCAAACAATGATTTGGTGGTTTGGACTCGAACAGGGAAACTGGCCTAGCCGCTTCCCAAACTAGCTAGGTCAGTTCTGTCGGGCTCACGAAGCCGTCTGGCTAGACAGCAGTAGGACCGGTGTCACGGGGTCGAAACTGTGGCAAGCATTGTTGTTCGTCGGGTGTCACTGAGTGTTGGTCTCCGGTAGCTCGGGTGGACTCAAGAACACAAAGAACAAAGAGAGGATGCACGGTTTATCCTAGTTCGGGCTATCGGGGCCCTGCGTCTAGCAACAAATGATCCTTATATTCAAGAGCACCCAAAATCGGGGGTTACAACAGAGTGTAAGAGAGAAATTTAGCAGGTGGATCACTCGTTGTTGATCCTTGAGCCTTGTCGCTGGTGAGGTCTCCCCCCTCGTTGGAGAGGAGGAAGACGATGAAAGCGGGGGAGGAGCTCTCGGTACTGCTCTCGGGGTGGCTCTGCTCTCGATGCAGAGCTCGAGCTATTCGGTGAGGACAAGATTGATCTGTTCAAAATTGTTCTTCCCCCTCGAGGACCTGACCTCCCCTTATATATCGAGGTAGGTCGGGTACATGGCGGTTTGGGGTAGTTTAGTCTATGGTCCACATGCGCTGGAGTCTAGGGAGGTCTTGTAGCGGCTTGGATGGACCTTGGTGTTGTCGTGGAGCCAAAAAAGCCTTGGGTGTCTTTCCGGCTCCTCTGTTCTGACACACTGAGTGTCGAGCTCTGTTGGCTTGGACCGGCCTCCACCAGGTGCACCTTCTGGAGGCTTCTTGGCGGTGAAGGTAGCCGGCTTGAGGGGCCAACGAGCGAGTGTTGACATTTCTTAGCATCGCTACTAGAGATATAATCCCTAGCAACGACACTAGAAATGCTTATGGTATTTTTAATGTGACTTAGTAAGTGCGAGGACCCAGAGGCACGAGCGCCGCCCGCGTCTTGCCTTTAGGATCTTTTTAACGATCGAGTGACACAAAACACCCCATGTGGCAAACCAACACATAACAAGCAACATTGTACCAAAAAGGTATTAGTTAATGGGAGTAGTTTACTAGAATTTTTTATACAAAAATAACAGAACATGAGTATACAAAGTTTTAAAGTTTCCTCTATAGGTTCAACTCTTCAGCATATCACTCGAATTCTTATCCGAGTAAATTTGTAGCACATCTTGGATTCGCCCACTCCTAGGTCTACTATGCAGCAGTGAATTAAGCATTGGCTCGAGTCGACCGAAACGAAATTACCTGCAAAACAACTTAACAACAGCACCGTGAGTACATTTCGTACTCGCGGGAATTAATTCCAACATATAAATATTTAGTGGATGCAAGGGTGTTATTAGGAATTTGTACATTTGCAGAAAAGCAATGGCGTTTATTAAAAGAATGACATGCTCAAGATTCACAACTAAATTATTTAATAGCTATAAGTTCATAGTGGCAAGTAAAGTGATCATCATTTATAAATCATATCATTATCAAGTTTCGTCATTAACACTACAATGAGCATAGAAAGTAAGAACAACCAAAAGGTTCTGTCCCGAAGGACTCCAGGCTTTCAAACTTTGTAGAGGTGTACAACTATATCCACACGGAAGAACGGGATGAACCACCATACCCGTGCGTTAGTGTCACACCCCAAAACACCTATTTTGGGATGTGACTTGAAAACACTAAAAACAAACCAAGAAATTTTTACTATTTTCTAAATTTTCCAACTTTAGTTAAGTTTTTGACATTCTAGATAGGGTAAAATGTGAGTTTCTAAAATTTTGTAACTAATTTAATGTTTTGTTGCATTTCATGCCTTTGCATTGTGTTTATGTGTGGAAAATGAATTTCAATATGGGTTAAGCCCATGCTGACCCACTCTCTTTCCATCATGAATAGTAGCCCAACTTGCATGTTTTTCCGCTAACAGGCTTAGTCTGCTCTCTTCCTCTTGCTTTGGGCCAAACCGAACAAGCTCAAACCACCCCTCCTCTGTTTTCTCTTCCCTTTTCGTGGACATGCAGCTCTCTCTCTTCCTAGTGGCACCTCATCCGCTCCCCACATGCAAAAACTGCAGCATCTAATTCCTCCTTAATACCTCCTTTTTAATTCACCAATATTTCTCTTCACTGCATGTGGAATGAACCATGCATGGCCAGTTAGCTTCTTGAGCTACACCGACGCTTCCTCCCTCCCTTCCCCATGCAAAGATAATTCCTCTCTTCATTTCCTTGACTCCATCAACTATCCCATCTTCTCAATTCATGCAATGGCAGCCGTGAGTCTCTTTCTCTCTTCCCCATGGCGCCTCCTCTATCCCTCATGCAAAAATAACAACATTAGTTCTCCACTTAATCACCTGGTCCCATCTCTCCCTTAATTTCCTTTTTACTCTATCAGTTTCCACCTCCTCTCAAATGGATGTGAAAAGGGCAGACATGCATCTCCTCCTCCTACTGCCCACGCCAATCCCTTCTCATGCAAAAATATATGCACCTCTTCATTCCCTCTCTTAACTCCCAAGACAAAACTCTCTTAAGAGTGCTCCTTTACTCCATCAATTTATCTCTTTCTCTTCAATTGCAAGCATGCAGCAGCAATATTCTATCAAGTTGCGGGTCCTCTCCTCTCCTAGTGCCGACCTCCCCCTTCCCTCATGCAAAATGGCAGCACTTACTCCCTTGACTCACCCCTCTTATGTGTGCACCTTTACTCTATCCTTTCAATTGCATGCATGCACATAACAACCAGCCACATTTCCTTCTTTCTCTCTCACGCACAATCGGAAGGATGCGCATTCCCCTTCGCCTCCCTCCTTCCTCTCCTATAAATGGACCCCCCCCCTTGCTCCCTACAATGCCTTTTGCATTCCTGCTGTTCTCCTCTCCCTAAAGATCTCTCTTGGGCGTCCCTCCCTCTTGCACATGAAGGAGAGGACAGAAACCACAGCCATGGCTGCGCCCTTCCTATTCCCTTCCTCCCTCTCGCTCATTTGCATCAAAACAAGGAGACCTTGCTGCTGCACGTCCCATCTTGATGCCAAGGATCTTCGCTGCGGTAAGATGAAACCTCGTTCTCTATTTTTCATCGTGAAATATTATCTTTGCTAATCCTCTATGTCGTGGAATCTGAGGAAACTCTACAGCACTTCCTCGGTGTGCCTTGTTGCCTTCCCAAACCAGCAGCCCCATCCCATCGATCGTCGGCTGCTTCGCTGTCCATCATTGGTGTTGGACGACGTTGAGCTCATCCCCGGCAACCATGAACCTCGATGTGAGGCCCTCTCCCCTCTCCCCATCATGTATACATGTCCCATGCTGAAAATCATGCAACATATGTCCATGTTTGATCAGTTTTGGTGAAGTTTCCTTTGCAAATGTATCTCTGTCCTCGCGGCCATCAGCACTGTTGTCGACGGCAACGGTGTTACCCGTTGATCCAGCAAGACTTATGATGAATCCTTTGAGTAGAACATCATTTATATACTTGCACATGCCTCTGAGAAATTTCATGGCCATAGGATCTAAGATGAAAGAGATATCGTCCTTTTTGTGCTCGCTGCCCTGCTGTCCTGGCAGCGGTGCCACTCTGATTGGCATTGGTGTTCCCTGCCAATACATTAGAGTAACCATCAAACCCTTTATCCAACATGTCCATCATATCCTTGCACATGACTCTGCAAGTTTTTGTGGCCATTCGGGCCATGATGGCGGAGATATC